ATGGTAAAAGCAACTGGAAAAACTGCCAAAGAACTGTCTAAATATTCCAAAAAATCATAAATTAAAAAATTTCTGCGCTAACCGTCGAGAAGACTGAAAATTTCGTCTATAAATTCGGCCATTAAGCTTATAGGTTGGAACAAACAGCGGAAAATTCATCGATTGCACTGCCAATGGATTACCTGGAAAACAGTGGATTTACTGGTTCCTGGAAAACTGAGGCATTTTTCGGTTTCGAAAATGAAGCGATGATTAAATGCAATCCTGGAAAGTTGAGTAACAGTATCATGGAAGGGGTGATTTTGGTTTTTTTTGAAATGAAACGATGGATTTCCGGGAAAATCCTGGATTCATGGGGGAGTGTTTGCCCCCATTTAAGGGTAAAATACGAAAGAAAGGAGGGAATTTACCCCCTCCCCCCCGAAAAAAAAAGTAAATTACGAATTAAAGGAGCAATTAGTTTCCGTTGAGGGGAAAAACAAAGGGATGAAAACACTTTTTTCCCTCCCTAAGAATGAAGTACGCAAAGATGGAGGTATTTCCTCATCAAAAGGGCGAAAAACAGAGGGACGAGGTAATTCCTTCCTTAACACTGGATTTTCAACAAAATCAATTAAAATTTTTAATCGCATAAGCTAATCATGATTCTTGAATCATGAATTTAATCATGAACCTTTTAAAGAGGATACTGCGAAAAATCGATAGAACTGTTTAGCTGTCCAAATTGGAACATTCAACAGGCGCATACACGACCAAATTTCACAGTTTCATCCAAGGGATTAGCCGAAACTAATCCTGAGAAAAAGCAATACGTAAAACAAGGATTCACGATTAAACTCATGATTATGTCGATAATAGCGCAATACTGGTGAAATGGTCAAAAACAACTGAAAAAGATCAAAAATAGCTGGAAAAAGCAACACAGTTGCATAGCTGGAGAACCAAACCATGAATTAACAACCTGCCGAATAAGACGAATACAACTAATTTGAGGGGGTACACCGCGCAAAAATGAATTTTAATAAAAATTCGCCAAAATCCATTCAAATTTGATCAGTTCTCTTTGTTGTATGGAAGTGAAACATGGAATACCACACTTTTGTTGAGGTGAAAAAGTTAACAATAAATGATACGTGGCAGGTGTAGTAGTAAATTGTTGAATAACTGCCAAATAAGACGAATATAACTAATTTAAGGGGTACATTGTGTGTGAATTTTAACAAAAATTCGCCGAAATCCATTCAGTTTTGATTAGTTCTCTTTGTTGTATGGAAGTGAAACATGGAATACCATGCTACTGTTGAGGTAAAAAATTTACAGTGACCCAGCAAGTCATGATGTGTGACATACGGCAGGTGTCGGCAAAAACCGCTGAATGCTTGATAACGCCTGCTGAATGCTTGATAATTTCTTTTCCAACCAAAAGTATGACCAAATTTTTCTAAATTTGGTTTTTCCAAATTTTTTGACCAATTTTTTTAATTTTTCGGGAAATGAAATGAACATCAGGATGCTCTGGCTTGCCGCAGATTATCAAATTAAAGAAGATGAAAAGCAAGGAATGAAGGGAATTCATGAATTTTACAGAGATTTGAAGAAATACCTAAAGATTATTGTACTTAACAAGCTGTGAATTTTTTGGGCTTATTTGTTTTCTTTAATTTTTAGTCGAATTTGTCATTCCTCAACTCACTCTGACAACTTAACGAGTACCATCCGGAAAGTTTTTGCATAGATTGCACCTAATTTTTGAGGTTTAATAAATTCAAGACAA